GTGCCTAAAATAAACGATATAGATCCTTCTATTCAGTACCACGGAAATTAAATGAGTTAAATTTATCTTTTGATATTTTGGCTTTGTTTTCAAACTAATTTTATTTTACTATAAACATGATTAGTGCTCGAGATACGTTTATATTGTTTACAATTAAGTTACCGATATATCTGTTTATTTATATATTGTCCTTGCAATATTCGAACTAGCTTAAAATTCCACCTTGCGCCGATTTCTTCGGATAATTTTTTGGGACTTCTGAAACTCAGTACTTCAAAAATTCTCCCCGCGATATCGTGTAATATTATATATTTTAATATTTTAATATTCATTTCAAAACTTGCAGACGCCCATTATGGTGCTTCATAACCAACCAATTGACTCACATTCAAGAAAATGAATGTCTATTTTATATCGGTTTCATGCCAAAATTATTGAATCATCGCAATGATTCTCTCCAATTGCGAAGTACATTTTCGACAATGTGTGCGAGAGAGAGAAGCCACTCATCGCCTTCTAGTTAATATTGCGGGAAATACCGGCTTTGTCCGGTATCGCACGACCGTCTCTCGATCGTAAAAAGGTGCGTTCTATGTGTATAATACTCAGTAATAACCCAGACCTAATATACCTGATATTATTCGAGTTTACGTTATAATCGTTATATATATCGCGTAGGTATTCCTATCGCGAGTATGCAACAAAAAGCGCCCTAAATTTATGAGACGCGTACACGTCATCGACGATGATCATCGGGGCCTGCCGAAGTATAATAGGTTTAAAATATAGGTGAAAGTACACCCCACCGTGTACTTAAAAGTGTATATTTAGGACTGTATAGCTCCCTTATGTTTTCTAAGCTACATAGTGTAAGGGCTCTTGTATCTACATACAGGGCGAATCTCTCTCTCTCTGGCTCTCGCTAATACTTTTCGCTCCTTATTTCTTATGGCATAAAACATGTATGTATCAGCGCTACACTAGGGCGCGAGCTTGATCGTCTCCTGCCTCTTCTACTACACACATTTAACCAGTAAATACCGGAGCGATTCTCGCGTCGCTCTCGGGGCTCTAGCAGCAGCAGAAGAAGCGGATGTAAATCGCGCCGGCAAAATAATATAACGCGAGGCTCGTCGTCGTCGTCGTCGCGTCCGCCGCGTGACGATGATTTTTTCTCACCCCTCCAACTGCAGATATACCTATTCGCGGCCATATATAACGAGACAGTGTATAAGTACGGACTCCTCGCTGGCATGATAATTCCCACAGCAGTTGACGTATTCACAGGATCGCTATTATATCCGGCCGCGTGTTTTTCCACCAGTTGTAAGTTGCAACGAATTTTGCTCGTCGCGCGCCTCCATATTTAAGCACGTTGGCACGGATCGAGGATGTTATCTCTTCGCGCGCTTCTCCTTTTCGAAGCGCAGAGAGAGATCCGCGTATGCGCACGAAAAACCAGTCGAAAAATCAAAGTGAAAGAGTTGCTGCAACTCGAGGATATATATATAATATATATCGTAAGGAATATACGTATTCACGATTGCGTTGCCCTGCATATAATCCTTGCTGCAGTGAGAGCTGCGCAGCGCGGCACAACTTGTAACGGCACAGCTCGCTGCTCCACATATCGAATTTCTGTCGCTGCTCTCTCTCTCTCCCGAAGCTCCTCGTTTGTTCTTTCCTGTCTCTCTTTTTCTCTCTCTCTTGGCATATATCGCGCGGCGGACGAGCACATGCACAGAATATACACACTCACGTACACACAGTCACCAGGAGCTGCAGCTGCAGCTGCTTCTGCCGTGTGTCCCGCGCTGGGTTATACACATATATACACTTACGCATCAACACGGGCCACACAGGCACGAGTGCAGCGGGACAGCTACAATATATAAGCGCACTATAACGCGCAGCGGTGAAGGTAAAATTTGCGCGAAATCGAATCATGCCCCTCTGCCTGCCTGCATCGCCTACCTACCCGGTTAAAGCGTGAATTATTTTTTTTCTTTCACCGACCGCGCCTGTGAATACGCATATACACATTGTATTATATATATATGCTACTGCAAAAAAAAAAGAAAAATACGACACGCTCGACTAATACGCACGCCGATGCGAGGGCTTTTATATAATGTCTATACGTTTTAAGCAACTAAATACGTACTATGTACTGCGCCTTTTTAACTTATTGCCGACTATAGATCGGTAAGGATCTTTTTTTTCTTTCGCGAAAGGTTGGCCTTTGGTGCGTGCAAGACAGTCGTCGAACAAATACTCGTTACGAGCCTTAACGAGATCGTTATTGGACAAGGATCGGATCCCTGACTGAGACCATAAAATAATAACGTCGCAGGCGTTTACCGGCTTCACAGTTCCTCGATGTCCGGCTATACAACACACGCTTTCGAAGTAAAAAAAAAGAACGTATACAAACGAACTCGTTCTCCTTCGATTATATTTGCGCGAGAGAGAAGCTGCGCGACAATTGCGCGAGCGTGTACAATAAGTACACGAGTGCGAGAAATCGGTATATATATACGTGGCGGCCGATCGGTAAGAAAGGAAAAAAAACAACAATCCGGTACTTTCGTCGAAAGAATGCGCGACTCGAGTGCGACCAATACCGGTATACGTATATAGGTAGTTTGAATTTTTGAATATTTTCACGCGCCAAAAGTGTAAGCATATATATAAGCGATGCCGATGTACAGTAAAGGGCAAACAGCAGCAACAGCAGCAGTGCGCGTGTGTTTTATAATATACACAGGCAACGGTGGTTGGCTGGCACCTGGCCTCGACACGCGCTGCCCATCAGCCATTATATATTAAAACGCACGCACACACACACACACATACACACATACACGCGTCTCATTGCCAATCCCATATGTATACTCGGTATAATTCGCATACTGTGTGTATATACGCGTGCGTGCGAAAAAAAACCCCAACTGCCCATCGTCGTCGTGGCGCGCGTGTGTCAGTCCGTCGAGCTTAAAGGCTTGCTTCATTTTCTTTGTTTCCATCTCTCTTACTTACTGTATATATACTATATACTCGTGTGCGCGTGTGCGACCCAATTTTCGTCGTCTCTTTCTATATTATTTTTATAAACCTATACTGTAGTCGCAATTTATTTTGGAGTTGATGTACCACGAGTAGAGCTGCACGTGTGGCACTATACAACATCGATGAGTGTTCATGCAATTACGCACTTCGAATAGGTGTGCGGTGCAGCATCGGCAGTGCACTAGTCGCGCGCACGTGTCGCACGGTGCGAAAAAGTACACGTAAGTATATCATTATTAAATCGTGCCTATAATATAATTCCGCGAACGAGCTGCCGTCCAAACTTTACCTACATACGATACATATTAATATCGATGTATGTACGCGGCTCTTTCTCTTTTTTTCGCGCAACTGCATCCCATATACACATTTGTACCGAGTTCGCGCGCGTGCCAGTAAAAAAGAGTGTATACATATATGTGCACGCGAGAGAAAGAGCGCCGCTGCCGCTTTGGCGACTGTACAGTACACGCAGTATTAAAATTATAAGCAGTGGCACCAAATGTGCGCTTGTGTTTGTGTGTGCAAACCGAGAGAGAGAGAGAGAGAACCGGCCCCGTGCGCTTACTTTTTATAAACACTCGCGTATAGTCCGCAGAAGCGCGCGTACCGGCTGCAGTGTAACAGCGGCGGCAGCAGCAGCGCAGTTCGTCGCGCAACGAGACAGTAGAGATATATAGGTAAGCAGTAGGTACACAAAGGATCGAGCTCGACTCCGATCATGTACATATAGGTACACACTGTCACGGACGAACTCGTTCTCGCGTGTATAGCAGTTCTCGCTCTCTCGCGCCTGCCTGCCTATCTATATACCTATACACCTATCTCTCGTTCTCTCCACCCCTCGTCCTCCTTCGTCTCCTCTTCTTCTTCCTCTTCTTCTTCCATCCTCTCGTCCTCTGCTGCTGCACTCCTCTCTCTCTCTCTTTCTCTTTTTCTGCAGCAGCAGCAGCGCGCCTCTATACATACACGGCATATCCTTGTGCAAACACACACCTTTCGTGCGGCTGATCCTCTCTCTCCACCGCCGCCGTATAGTAAGTGCTATAGTGCAACGCAGTCCAGCGATAATAGTGCTGTATATGGATAGTCTCGTGTAGGAGTCCACTGGTGTGCCTTTCGATGTGTATTATAGAGAAGAAAGAGGATCGGCGCTGCGCACACGGCACGAGATGATGTACCTATATAGATACGAGGAGAAGCTGCTGCCGGACGGAATACGGAGCTTGTGAACTGCAGACTCGCGCGCTACTATACGTATATGTACTCTTCCTATATACAAGGTACGAGAGTGTATATATTTTTTGTCGCGCGCGCCCGCGGCCTTCGATGCGGCATTATGCTGCTGTATATGTACGCACGTAAAAAAAGCCGCGGCGCGAATATTACGCGCCGTGTGTGTATATGGTACACAAACACCAGACAGTGTGTGCAGTCTTTGCTGCTGTTGTTGTTGTTGTGGTAGGAGCTGCTACAGAGTAGTACTGTGCACTCGAGCGCATATTGACGGCATACATGTGTGCGTAGGTAGTAGGGTATATACTACGGACACATCGGCGCTCGAGGCCAACTTATATTACACGGTTAACCTTCTTCGATATACTCGCGCACGTTTAATATTCGTTTTTAAACGCAGGTAGAGACTCCTTTTTGCAGTGCGTGTCGCGATTCATGCAGTGGTATACGCACCGCGGGCAGACACCTCGAATTTTGGCGCCTTTTCCCGCCGCCGCGCGCGGCTCTAAAAAGCTAATCTCTCTACTCTCTCTCGCCGCTCCTTTTTCGTACACTACACACAAATCTGCGCGCGTGCGTGCTTACATACTGGCGGCGGAGCGCAGCTTTTTTTTGCCTACGATTCGCAGCACAAAGCTCACGACCATTCAAGTTCTCCGCTGTTGGTTCGAGAGACTTCGCGAGACGTTATATATATATACGATATCATCATGGGCTTTTCCGATTTTGCGCGTATTATCTACGACGACGCGCGTGCGCCTAGTTTCGACTTTGACAATGCAGTGCGGCAGCGGTGCACATCCTGGCGTAACGTAGTATATACTAGATCCGTTTAGTGTGTGTACATAGGTGTCAGTGCACACCATCTCTATAAATGCGGACAAAACCAATAGAGAGTTCGGTGCTCGGTGCATTAAATGTATAGTGGTGGTGCGCGGCGTTATTAAGTGCGCGCGACTATGAGAATTAATAATAATAATACAATATTGCAACGAGCCGAGCGGCTGCTATGCTATAACTGACCGCGCACAGTTGTCACTGTGTTGTTGTTGCTGCTGATCTCATAGAGAATAATATCAAGAGAGGTAAAGAGCGTCGAGTCACTTTATTATATATACATAATGCAGCGCGAGACGTGCGTTACATAAATCTGCCTTACACACACATATCTAAACATATAGCGAGCGACGTAAGTGTAATAACGCTATACTATTACGCGCTGAATATTTCGCAAAATATCTCTCGCGCGACTCGACCGGAGGGAGAGAGAGAGAGAGAGAAATATTAATCGACGACGAACGAATGAACGGACAAGCTCCGTATATATATGTGCACCGAGCTGCAGTTTACCTATATTGTATGTGTTTGTGTGTTTATACGTGTGTACAATGCGTACCTTGGTATATACTATCTATACACACACGAATGCGCTTTTATTCGCTCTCGACATGAAAATATTTTGCTACATATATACATGTCACTGCACTCGAGTACGAGTATCCATCTATCTCTATCTCTCTCCTTCACTGCATCCGTATAGCTATTTTTTCTACTTTTAGTCTGCTGCTGCTCTCTCGCACAGTTTGCAGCGCAGATACCTATATATATATAATGCCTACTGCTGCATACACCGCGTATACGCTTTGTATACGACTATTTCGTATAATATGTATACGTTCAGGCGCGATATATAATAATACGCACGCACGCTTTTATGTAACTTTTAGAAAGTTCGACGCTTTTTGTCGCGATTTTCGTGGCTATCTCTCGACGGCCACGGTATCGTTTCTATCTCATGAATGGGAATTCCGAGCTGACATTTTTGGGTAAATCCGTGCTTTACTCGCGGTATATAACACGATCATTGTTCCATGTATGTATGTATGTATGTACTCGCGCAGTTTTCGAGCACATTCGACTCGCCGCGACCAAAGAGATGGAGACTTCCGTAAGCTTTTTTTTTTGTTGTGCTTTGTTTTGGTTCGAGATGAGCTCGAGTTATCACTCTTCTATGGAATGCATTTGAAATATGAAATGAATTTTGACTTTATGAAAATTATGCTATTGATATTTTACATTTTATTTTGGATCGAGTAGCAATAGTAAATGAATGTATATTCTTGTTGCAGCTTACTGTCAAATGAATATAAAGAATTACATGTGTCAACAAATCCAGTACCATGGTTGGCTTCTTCGATGAAGACAAGGCCCTATTTCCTATAAAAAGTGTTTCTTCCATTGTGCAAATCTTCCAGAATCAGCTGGAAAGTAGCGTAGAGCCAGATCTTGCTTTACTATCGATCCTCGTTGGGGTCATAGAAAATACCTTGACTTGTAGCCGAGATTCTGTGCCAGAAGATGCATCAAAACCAAACAAAGAACCAGAACTTCCAACTTTGGAACTTCAAGAGATTGAAGCGTTGTATAACAGATTTCATTCAATAATCAAAGGTGCTGTTGATCTTTCCGCATACAAATCAAAATATGCCACAAGAGAATTGGTAAAAAGAGTATCCGATGTTATATGGAATTCTCTAATGAGGGGTTACTACAAGGACAGAGCTCATCTTCAAAGTATATTTAGTTATTTAACATTTAATAAATTGGACTGTTATGGAGTAGCTTTAGCTGTTGTTGCTGGCTGTCAAGTGTTAGGATTCTATGATGTACATCTTGCAGTAACGGAAGATCATGCTTGGGTTGTTTTTGGTGAAAATGGAGAATACACTGCTGAAGTAACGTGGCATGGTGGGTACAAAGAATTGTTCACTTGTCACACATTCATAAAGTTGTGATGCTCTGAACTGATTTTTAAAATGCCATAACATTTATTTATAGGTAAAGGCAATGAAGATAAACGAGGTAGACCTGTTGATGCAGGAGTCAAATCAAAATCATGGGTATATCTAAATGGACAAGCAGTTATTTGCAACAGGCCAATGGAAGTGGCTACAATTGTTTCAGCAATAAACCCAAGTATCAGTACAAATGCTGATGCTATAGAAGTTGGGATTTTACAGCAAGAACTGTTATGGTTACTTTATGACTTGGGTCATTTACGAAAATATCCAATGGGGCTTGGTAATCTTGCAGAGCTCGAGGAAGTTAATCCAACACCAGGAAGATGTCTACCACTTATTCTCTTTCAAGTATTTATTCACATTAATAATAGAATTGAATTATTATTTAATTTTTAACCCTTATTAATTTTGACTTCTATTTTTAGGAAGCTGTTCGATCTGCAAAAAAGTATTATGACAATTCACATATTTATCCGTACACATATCTTGGAGGATATCTTTATCGATGCGGACAACATGCTAATGCTCTAGCAACATGGGCAGATGCAGCAGATGCTTTACGAAAGTAAGCACATATAAAAATTCTGACAATTTTTGATTTTACTGTATTTCCAAAACTAACTTTCAATTTTTAGGTATAACTATTGTCGTGAAGATGGAGAAATATACAAGGAATTGCTTGAAATCGCAAATGAACTCATTCCACATACTTTGAGAATTGACGAACATTTATTGCGACAACCGCGATGCTTTGGTTACTTATTGCGATTTTATGATGGTATTTGTCATTGGGAAGAAGATGCAAATACTCCTGTATTGCATATTGGATGGGCTAGACCACTCGTGAATACTATTTCAAAATTTGATTCGAGTATTCGAGCCCAAGTTGCCATCACATGCTATGAAGCAGATTCAAAATTTTCAGAGGGCAGTTCAGATGAATCTGTGAATAACAACAATAATTACAAGGTATTAAGATAATAGTAATAGTTGAAAGAATTATTTTCGCTTTATTTGTAAGCAACTGAGTTTCTAAAATTGATTAGTTTTCCTCGATTATGAAATAATCTTTTATGATCAAAAATGAATTTTGAATTAAGATCACTTTAAAGGGGGCTTGAGCGTCATAGATTCATTCTATAGTTAAATTTTACAATATACCTCACAGTTACTGAATATATATTTTAATAAACAGTCCCCAGTTTGCATTGAAATGACAAAATAAAGCTTTTTGAAAATTCTCCTAAAATGTTACATTGAAAATATTTGTCTAAAAAATGTTGTTTTTTTCAGGAACGATGTAGTCCTACTCATAACTTGATTAAAAGCATCGAGTCTGTAGTTCCCGAAAGTCCAGAACCAATGCATCCTGGAATACAAGCCTTAGTTGAAGCTTGTGGAGAAAAAATTCTGAATAGAGAATACCTTCTGCAAGGCGATGGAGATCCATTTATATCACCAGCTGACTGTAATGCATTGCTTGAACTTCCGCTCTCAACATCATCAGTGTGCGGAGGCGGAATCTCGACTCCGTCAACTTCGCAAGATAGCCTTGACGACGGGCTGAGTGAACTTGAAATTGAGCTCGAAACGGAAGAACCACGAATCACACTTTATAGTCACAAAATGAAGGGTCTTAAAGATTTACTACTAAGTGAAAAACTCAACACTCATGCAATATCTTTACAATTAACCGCTCAGAGTCAAGTTCAGGTGGGTAAAAAGTCAACCAGGCATGGGGATGATTCGTCTGGTGCAAATTTAAGGCCCAAAAGAACGCGAAGAGAATAGAAATACCTGATTATTTATTATTTTCTTCTCTTTCTTTCTGCTTTACTAAAAAAATCCGAGTATCTTTGTTATGAGTTGTCTATATCTATATTCTTTTTATAAAAAAAAACATTAGACTTGAATTGAGAAATTCATCCTAGAAGAGTACAAAAAAGCTGTAACTAATTCTAGTTATTAACTGATAAGGGCATTTGTGCTTATTGCTATTTAATTAACATTTATTTCAATGTCCTAAATCTGCACATATATTTATTTATTTGCAAAGTTGTATATTACATAAATGTCAACTTGCTTGTTTGAAACGCAGCATTATTTGAATGAGACTGGCGTGCCCGCACGACAAATTATCTTGCGTTTAGTCGCAAAAAATAATCATTAACTTATATTTTATTTTAAAAAATCGATGTTTATTGTCTTGTTGCACTTTTGCTTTATTTATTGAATAGAATTTTTTGATATTTATAGTATATGAAATATTTTGCACTTTTACCTTAAATAAATTTTTATTAGATTTGACGTTATACCGCTTTATAGCTTTTACGTAAATATATGACGAGGAAATCACTTCAATCGCTTAAATTATAATAAACAACATTCCAAATTTGAGTAACTTCAAACTGATAAGTTCTTGCTTTCGTATAATTTACTTGCAAGGTAATATTCAATTTATTTTCAATCTTTCTGATGTACCCACATTTACAAGAGAAGTTGACACTTTTGCCTACTTTTTTATATATTTTTTTGTCAATTTTCACATGTAAAATAATGAAAAATAATACGTAAAAAATAAGTTTGACGATCGCATACATTGTAACACGTTGCCAATAATATAAGAAATCGTCGATATTGATGAGACTGTTATCAAAAACAAGATCGCTCATGTGAACTTACGAAAGTTTTCATCAGCGAGAACTAGTGTTAATGTGCATTCATCAATATTGACTTACTCTCGTGCGTGTGAAGTATCGATGATCGCATAAAAAATAGGGCGCTAAATACTGTGATGCTGAAATATGTTAGATACTAAAATTAATTGATGTAAGGAATTATATAGTAGAAATAACAAATTATACCTGATTATATGTGTCAATTGAACACAATTGTTAAACGTACGAGTTAAAATTATTAATTCTTATGAGAAAGCAATCTAATTTCCTGCTTGTTGTAATATTCTTCAAATTTCCTATTGACTATAAGAGGCTGTAATTAAGTCAGTTTTATCATTCAATTTACATCTTTTCAATTAAATTTTCCAACTGCATTATCATCATTAGCTATAAAAACTATTTGTCTTCGTGGAATCACCAATTAAATTATTTAAAAAAAGAAATCTAATGAAAGCATAAAAATGTTTAATTTTGTAGTTCTGCCTCAAGATATTATATTTCAAAGTCATTAAATTAACAATTATTTGTAAGAAAAGTTAAAAGCTAATTTAAAAGAAAATTGAAAATTTAAGAAAGAAGATGGAAAAATGATTATTAGAGTTTGTGTTTGTCATTTTATAATATGTGAGAAATATATATTTTAAGTAGCTCCATTCCCGCAGTGCGCGATGGGTGAAATTATTAAATACAACAAATAAATTGTAAATGTATATAGAAAATTGTATGGTAATAGAGTTAAATTTTTAAAATTAGACCACGAAATCAAATTAAATGAAATGCTTGATTTGTCCACATTGCATTACAAAAGAATTGAATATCAATACTCATTGTTCAAATATCGTACATAATTATTAACACAACATTTTTTAAAATAATCAGGCTGTTGACATTAAGATGATACGCTTTCAATTTTTATTTGTAATATAAATATAATACCTACGATATGTGCCACGCGTGCCCAATTGTAAATCATGATGTAAGTCTATCATCATGGCTACAGAGAGATATGAATTTTGATTTCTCAAATCTTGCCATAAGCGCTATCAAAACTAATTTATGTACATTTTTATGCTAAATCAAAATCTAATCTTTTCGCCTTTTTTATTAGTGTGCGATACATCCTATACTGAAGAGAACTTTTTTATGTGCTACATATTTTATCTTAAATCATAGCTAATCATCGATCATTTTAATTCATATAATATATATTGTATATTGTCATGTTACAAATGGATGAGTAAATTTATGAAAGAAGTAACAACTTCAAATAATTTTAATCTGAAGTTAACGATTGAACTTGGAATCAAAGTTTCAAAATTCACAGTCTGCAGTAATTTCTCAGTACTTTATTATGCGTATTAGATTTTATCTATATTTTAATTGAAAAATTAAAAAATGATTTATTTATTATACATTTACGAACTAAACCATGTTCTTCAATGTATGTAAAAAAAGTATCAAGTAATATAATTGAGTTTTAGGAAAAACTACATTAATTATTACCTGCGAGTCTTTTGTAAATTGTTATTATAGTGGCTATTAATAGAATAGATTACATTAGTAGAAAGTCAGTATTTTTATATTATTATATTTGTTTGAATGAAAATCATCGCTCAAAAAGATTATTTTTATTCTAATATGAAAGGTAAATTATTCGTTAAGTATGCTACTTTTATGAATGAAAAGAAACCAAGTAGTTTTAAAATTTTAAACAAGTTTGAGGCTTCGAAATATTCAGTTTACATATGTCATTGCTATCATTGTCGAAATTTATCAAAAAAGTGTTTAAAATCTCAGATATCCCATGGTTTCATGTTTGAATAATGTGTCAAAAGTGTAGCAATGTATTATAATTATAACATTTATGACTATAAATGTTCAAAAAAATTATATTACGTAAGAATTAATATTCATTTATAATACTTCAAACTTTCATAATTAGAATATGTTTATGAAAGTGTAACATAGTTATTGTACTTAATCAAAAAATGTTTATCAAAGTCAACTACAAGATTTTTTAGCAATTTATCAATATTTTTATTAATAAAACATTCAAAACATTACAAACATAAAGTGTGAAAATTAGATTATTGAGTTTATTAATCAATCTAAAATTTATTTGCATCTAATATTCAATAGGAATTTAGAACAAAATTAATCAATATATTATTTATAATAATACAATTTCTTGTTCTTGTTTCAAAAAAAGTAATTTTATGACATTTTATAAATGTTTATGAATAACTGGGCTTGAACTCAGACCATAATCACTTAAATTTGATAACTGAATGACATAAACTTGCAAAGGAATTCTGTTTTTTGTGAAACATAATAAACTATTTTATTCTACGTTTCTTTTTTGTTTTCATTAAAATAATCTTCCTTCCTGTCTTTTATTTTCATAAAGTCACATTTACTATAAAGAAACGTATTGTAAATGACATGATAAATACATTTTTTTTAAATTTTATATTAATGTTTACGAGATATGAATTATATTAGCTCATTTTTTACTTTCTCAAAAAATTAATATACGTTATATCTTTAAACTATTTTATAATATACAATTAAATATTATTTATTTCATTTGAACAATAAATTGTCCTCATGATGCCCGCCTCTCGTTTGAATGTCTACGTCCGCTCACCTCCGTAGGTCCTCCTCCGAGACTCCATAACTTCCCGATTTCATAGATTACTCCAGAGTTTTCTGCTTTTTGAAAATTTTTAAGCCGTAAAAGATCGTACACATAAGCAAAATATATTGTTCAAATTACTGCAATTTCTAATTTGATCGCAATCTGCGTTCCTTAATTTCATTTGCACACTACCTGAAAGGTACATGTGGTAATAGCTTTCCAAAAATAATAAGCGAAAGCTTTCTTTGAATGAGGTTTTTCCCGTAGTTTTGTGTAATGCTGCTTTTCTCTGCTTGCAACATATCTCCTTGGTTGTCTTGTTTATAAGTAGGTACGTCCCTGATAGCACGGAAAGTTGCAGCAACGTTGCGGCAACCATATTTT